TTAAGGATTTGGAACGTAGCATATAAATACAAGGCTCCACTGTCAGCTTTGTTTAAACATTATTGCCGTGTTTGTAATTTCTCTCCATATTGTAAGTTAATATACATTGTTCGTCTACGATTAACTATTTTTGTTCTTTTTTACTTTTAATCTTGTTTCTTGTTGTGATCTTTATTACTACATATTGTATCAATAGTTTCGTTTTTTACAATCTCTCCGAGTCCAACACTAGCTACGTTGAGTAGAATTTTATCTCGATTTTCAAGGTTCTAATTATACCTTTTTGTAAACTCGTCAAACTTTACAAAGACAATTTCAAACAAAATGTTTCCTTATATATTTCTTCAGTAAATTTGACGATTAATGTAAATAACTACAAATATTGATTTATTGAGTAAAAAACATCTAATTAATCATTCCTTCTTAAGGAAAACATGAACAATTTTCCTCAAGAGCTGATGGCTACCACCCTTGGAACCTCAACTGGGAAATCATTAATTTCATCAATCCAAGGATTCTTCTCCTTAATCGGATCAACGGTCCTCAATGCACGCCACACTGCACTGTTACATTTAAACCCTGATCCAAATGCAATTTGCCAAGTTCTATCTCCTCTTCTAATCCTTCCTTTGGCCTCTGAATATGCCAATTCATACCACAATGAACTACTAGAAGTATTTCCAAACCTATAAAGTGTCATTCTTGATGGCTCCATATGCCACTCAGAAAGTTCGAGATTCTTCTCCAGTTCATCCAACACAGCTCTTCCTCCTGCATGAATGCAGAAATGCTCGAACGCTAGCTTAAAATCTGGTATATATGGCCTAATCTTCATTTTTAATACTTTTCGTGCCACTAAGGTTAAGAAAAACAATAGTTGTTCAGACATGGGAAGGACTAATGGTCCTAAGGTTGTGATGTTTGTTTTTAAGGCCTCTCCTGCAACTGCCATTAGATCTTTGGACAATGCCACCCCTATTTTTTTCGTGTCGTCTTCTTCTTGGAATACGCAGCCATAGCTTTTTTCTTCTGCACCTTTGTGCGTGCGAACAGTGTGGACTAACTGATATTTTGCACGTCGACGATCAGATGACTTGTTGGAGAGAAGGATGGCCGCGCCACCCACCCGGAATAGACAATTTGAGACGAGCATTGATCGATTGTTGCCAAAATACCAGTTGAGCGTTATGTTCTCCATGCTCACTACGAGTGCATAGGAGTTGGGATGGACCTGTTACATAGATAGAGGAAGAAAAAAAACAAAAAACTT